GATGGATTTCGCTCATCTTCGAACTCATTCAAGGTTATTATCCAAAGAATATGTGTAACAAATTTCATCTAGATCCGTCAAGAACTGTAGACACAATCGCGGCAACATCCCGCGTTATATTACATACATATATATATATATATTTTTTAACTAACGTTATTTTTGAGCTTTACTCGACTAGTTAAGTGATATTACAACAAAATTCCGAGTAAATTCCGACATGAGGACCAATGCAAAAGATTGATTTCTATGAAATCTACCTAAAAAGCGTGGGGTGCATGGTGTCAATAGTTATAAATATTTTATTGACAGATGTGAGTAGAGTGATTATCATTTTGATAATATCTTAAAAAGCCCCCCACGCTTTTTTTAAAATAAAATACATATTTTTTATTTACACTTTTATTAATTTATATTTATTGAAATTTTTAACACTATTCTTAATTTAAATTTATTAAAATTTATTTTCTATTTTTTAGTTTGGTTTTCTATAAAAAGCGTGTTTTTAGTTTTTTTTAAACTATTATTTATTTTTTACTTTTTAGTTTTTATAAGTTAAATCTTATGATAAAAGTATTTAATAACTTTTGAATTATTATTTTTATTGAATTATTAAGTGATTAATTAATTAAATTATTATTTTTATTAAATTATTAAATTATTAATTAAATTATTAAATTATTATTTTTATTAAATTAAATTTTTAGTAAGTAATTTATTGATTAGTAAGAATAAAATAATTATTTATAAATATTATAAATACGGGGAATCAGAGTTCGATTTCGGAGAGGGAGCCTGAGAAACGGCTACCAGAACCAAGGAAGGCCGCAGGTGCGCAAATTACCCACGGAGAGTTACATACTGAATGACATACTGACATACAAGTAAAGCTAATAAAAAGCGTGTAAAAAATATAGAATTTTTTATATAGTTAAATTTCTTCCCAACACAATTTAATCTACGAAATAAAAGTTAATTCACGTAAAGTCCGTCCTGAAAGTATCAAATTTAACCACATAATTCGGTTTTCTCATTCAGTTACAGGCTTGAATAGTCTGCATTATTTTGTTAAATAATTCAGCTAAAAATAAAAATACAAATGGTCAATTTAGGTGACTTTGTCTTTGTTAGAATGATTTTGACTTGCCCTTACAAGTCTAGAAGTTTGTTTCTTCTAACAAGATGAATATAACTTAGAATTCTAGAGCGCCCGAAATCCCATAATAAAATTGAGATGAAATGTATGTGGCATCAAACTATTCGTAACGTGATTGGTTGAATATATCATAAGCATGAAAATATATGCAAACTTCATAGTCAAAGCGCGCGCTTGCGCGCGTAAATTCAAATTCTAGTATTACGTAAATTACATAAGCGAAGAAAAATAAATTTTTATGTCATGTCTACATACTTTTTTTTTTTTAAACGGGTAATTTCACTTTAACATCATTAAGCTACCTCGGTGGACTGTATTTAAAAAATTTATAGGAAGTAATCATATTTAATAAATTTTTATTTTTAGAAATACCAATACTGGATTTATAGATGCTTACTAATCTTTATTTATTGACGATATTTTAGTCTGGATTCATGATACATAAATTCTATATGAATTTCAAGGTATAATAAAATTTTATTAAGTTTATAAAATTTAAGTATATTTCATTCTTCAAAAAATTCATTGATTAAATTAATTAAAATAAATTTTATACTACTTTACACAGAGAATGAATACATTAAATTTTTTCAATGCAAAAAGCTTATTTGTCAGTACCCAAAGAAACTTGATGATATAAAAACGTTTCATTACTTTGAATTTAGTGTCAAAAACATTGAAAATATTGAAAGTAGTTAATTTTTTTAAATAATCACTGGCAAAAAAATTTGGTACTACAGTAAATATTATTGAATATTATATTGTACAATATAGTCATTAAAAGCATCTATATTCCGTGCTATTTATGTTTATAGTACGTAGTAAAATTTAGACGCTGACTAGATGTCCTTCCGATACCAACTTTTGGGATAATTTTCACTACAAGATTATATGTATTTACAGGTTGCTTTGAAATAGTCGGTTATTTTTCAGCAGGTAGCATTAAATTTAAAGGAAATGAAAATTTTCAAATCCATGAACCGTTTCAGGTTTGCTCAGCCATACAATAAACTTTTCTCTTAGCCGTTAAAAAATTCAACTTCTAAGGCAACTAGATACTTTTACAGACCAAAGTAAGCGGAACTCTTCTGTTTATTTATTTATTCAACTTTTTAATTTAAATTAAAGTATTAAATATTTATTTTTTAAGAGCAAAGTATTTTTTGCATTTAAAGCTTTTTCTATTTAATAATGTCGTAATACTTTATAATGCTCATTTATTTTTTATAAAAGCTTTAATTTTATTTTAAAAATTTAATTTAGAAGCTTTCTTTATTATGAACAAATAAAATTTTTCATTTTTCTAAAACAATAACCAGTACTCATTATTAAAAACTACTGGTTTGTATTATTAAAATTTTTTTTGTTTTAAAAATAAAAACAAATTGCTTGAACAATTACCTGATAAAATATTCCATCAAATAAATAAGAGACGAATTAAATCCTTCCATCAGACTCATGGATTTAAATTTTGAAATCCACGGTTGATTTTCAACAATCGTCGCCATTATTTTACAATTGTCACCAGCGTCTGAAAAATACGTATATAATTTTATACGATTAATAAAAATAAATTTAAATAAAAAATATAATTAAATTACAAAGAAAATCTAATTTCGAAATTATTTTTCCTCTCGCGCTAAAGAGTCTTTCCATTCACCCTCTGCCTAACATCCATAAGTAAACTGTTACGAGAAGGATAGGACGTGGATAAAAAATAATTTTCCTCATTTCCTTTAACGGAAAACATATTTTTCATTGCTCATCTGCCGCTTTATACAGGCACAGGCAGGTGTCTTTAGTACAACTGGATGCTAAGTTACTAGTTCGTGGAAAACTAGTTTGCTTCGGCCTTTGCAAGTTATAAGCCGAAGGTCACCAGTTCTAGAAAAAGATATTTTTATAACAATGTGTATAAAAATAAAAAATTATCGATGGTCAACTAGATGTATAGTAAAACATATTGGATAAAAAAAATAACATCACATACTTGCACCACGTTTTTATATATTTATAAAGATTTACGTAAAATAAAATAGATCCGTACATTATTTATAAAAGTATATTCATGTACTTATATACTATTTTATGCAGTAGAGTAAAATTTTATGGCACACACGTATTTACTGTGTAAATACAACTTAATTTTTTATTATTCAAGGATGCTTGCATGAATTTTCTTTTAATACTTTTCCCTTAAAACTTTTTTTTATCAGCATATGAATAAGCCAAGTTGCTAGGTATGTCAATCGTATTCAATGAAAGCCAAATTTTTTTTTTCCTTGCAGCATTTCAATTTCAAACAATAAAGATGAAAGACTAATATTCTTTATTGGGAGAATACAAAAATTTTAAATAAAAAATATTTTTTATCATATTGCAAGCAAAACATTTGACAGGTTTTTGTAGAAAAACTACTAGTGAAGAATGAAACTATAGAAAAGATAAAAAGTTAGAGTTGTTACTTTTATAAATTGTTTTTTAATTTTCATTGTGTGAATTTTTCATTTCATTTAAAAAAGTTTCCAACTGTCTGTTATATTTTCTGTAGCAATTTTTCGACAAACTCCTCACATGCATAAATTATTTTAGTTAGTTAGATTTAATTTAAAATATCGGCTGTTTAAAAAAAATTTTTTTGATCCATAAAAAAAATTAATATATATATCTTGAGAAAAATACTATTTTGAATGTAGTTAAATAATAGTATTGATTATATTTGGTGTGAACTAGCAGCGTCAGACGCTCAGACAAATTTCGACGCTTAAATAGGAAAATCTGTAAAACAACAAATTATACATTCAAATATAATCATAGCTTGTATATTTTGAAAAATTCATGCAAGTATACTTACTGATAAAAAAGCGATGGCTATTATAAATTTTCTTTGATAAAAATAAAGAAAATCGAAAAGCTAGGTTATGATTCTCTGGACCAGTAAAAAACAGTTTTATTGATGTGAAAAAAAATAAAAGGTAGTTCAAGGGGGGAAAAATTTCAAAGCTTTACCTGGTGTTGAATGTAGATGTTTCAAATTTATGACTTTCACCCCGGAATCCATGGCTGAGTGAGCACGTGAAAAAATAAAAATAAGTTATTGATAAAAATTTCACCACATAAGTCAGCCGTTTACATATAAATAATACAATAAAACAAAAGTTAAATAATAATTGTGTCGAGGATGTAATAAATGCGCATCCATCCGAAACACGTAAACGTTCTAATTGTTCAAGTCCACGGCCATGTTAACACTGAGCTACTCGAAGCATCCAGCATTGGGAACAGTTTCCAACTTGTGGGGGAGACACATTGGTTCCCCTACCCTAACAGTTTTAGAGGTCGAAGAAGGGGAGTATTCAACCACTACCAGCATCACTCTCAGGATCACATTGGTTTTGTATGTTGCACCACTACTCTTGTATTTAAAAGTACAAATTTTACATCTATATGTATATACACAGGAGTTTAGTCCTGAAGTGTCACTATACTAATACAATACCAACATATACTTACAGATACAAGGAGGATGTCAGTTACTCAGTGCAATTAAGCTAACCTAGACAATACCTAGAGTACTTATCATCCATAGTATATGCAAGAACGTGAATTGTATAGCCGGGTGATGTTCGTTAGATAGATCAAAGGGATTGGCTAGTCATTATTGCTGAATTGAAGCTTAAGGAGGTCCTTTCGCCGCCAATGTAAAATAAAAAATATTAGATTATGAGTAAATTCAATTTTTTTCTAATAGTTAAGGTCTTTATTTATCTAATAGTGAGGTTTAAATTATACTTTACCGGACAAATTTTTGAAAAAATAAAATTTTTAAATGTTAGTATTTGTTCAGAGTCTTACGAGAAAGTCAGACATTTGCAGTATTTCTCGAATTATACTATCAGTCATGGATTAGATGAAGTAAAAAAAAAACTAAAAATTAGATTTTCGAAATATTCAGGTTTCTTTTTTTGCAATAAATTTTATCAGTTACCGAGATATTTATTGAGAAATTAATATTTAAAAATCACAAAAAATTCTCAAGTAACCTACGTTAAAATGGAGTCAAAACATTTGGCAACGTTGCGTAGCGCGCGAGCTTCAGACCATTTAATAAATTCAAACTAATTTATTTATTTACACTGACTGCAAAAACTTAAACGTGGTTAAGGTTATATTGTGCAAATGAAAATGTAAACAACCGAAGTACAGCGTTGCCAAATCACGGACAGGTTACTAGCAGTTGATTTGAAAGAGTCAAATTAATTTTTGTATTTAACTATTTTTTTTTTTTATTTTCAAAATTTCAACGATTAATGCCTCATATACTATTTATTATTTAATTTTAGGAATTTTTATGGGTTTCTTTTTTTAATTTATCGTATATTGACTACTACAATTGTTTTGACTCAACTGGAGCGAAAGGATTTCCTTAAGCTTTAGACTCCAAAAGTCCTGTCGTAATTTGGATTATGTGATTTAGATTATATGGAATGGATAATAGATTAAATATCAGGTACAGTTCTGATTAGATGCTTCGATGTAAATCTCTGGATAGAGAAACCTAGTCACAGTTGTTATACAGGTTTTATCTTGCGAGTATGGAGAGTTGAGTAAATATTCAATACAGCTAATTGATGATCGATAAACATTGGACGCAAATAATGCCAGAATTGAGGGTACAGAAAGGGTCTGCCGTGGATAGCAAGCAGTGTATAGAGTCTGGATGCATGAGAAAGTGTTGGGCAGGGTAAACTACTGTTCCCTATACTCAACTCACAACTATGGAATACACAAGTACTTGGTAGTAGATGTACGTAATGTAATGTTGAAAAGAGAGTGCGGCTGCGCGATAAAAAGCTCGATAAATTCGCTCATTCCGAAGTGCTCAACGAATTACTTCCAGCTTTAGGATTCTCAAATGTACTTTATTTGGCAAAAATTTTAATTTACATTGGTTGGTAGCCAAATTCTTGGTGTAATTGCTTTATTATTTTAAACGGGTGAAGTATGTGACGATAATCTTATGAAGATAATAGATTTTTAAGTTTTTATTCTGTCGGAGTCCTGTTGGTTTGAATAAGAATTTGTAAAAAATAAAGTAGCAGCTGTGTACAAGGATTCTTTTACTAATTGTTTTGAGAAGTTGAAATAAATAAAAAGAAATGAGTCAAAAAATGTGAAACATGCTTTCGGAAGTGTATTTTGCTTTTTGATTGAACATCCAAACATTTAGCTTAAGCTTTATTTTCATTTTTATTACACAAGGCCGAATAGCCAATGCCAATAAAAGACCGTAAGCTATACAAAAATATATAGATTTTATTTTACGGCTGACAGAAATCGGCTATCAAACTAATTTTTTAATCCCTAAAAAAATATTTAAGTGTGGATAGGATATAAATATATATTTGGTCAGAAAATGTCGATATTATAAAAAAAAAATAAAATATTATGCACGAAATTACTACAAAAGGAAGTCTATTGTCTGGCAGAGGTTGTAAAGTACTGTTAATTAACTGCAATGGATATACCTGCGTACAAAATGATTTTGGACTTTGCTGTTAAATACAAGTATTTATTAGTTGATGTAAACTATTTGCGGTGGAACTTCAATCGATTTGTAATTGTAGAATGTCGTAATGAAGTTATGAGTATAATTTTTTTGTTAAAACAAATTACTTTATTTTACTATGAATTATTCAAAATTAAGAAAAATTTTTTTTAATGAACGCGAGATGTAAATGGGGCATTCCATGCCAAATCGACCACTTTTGACACCGACCGTTTTCGATTTTTCTGAAATTTTGGTATCTTTCTCTACCCTATTGAAAACAATTTTCAGAATTTTTCAAATTTTTTACCCAACCAAAAAAAAGTTACGAGTTATTACAAAAAAACAGCTTTTTTTTTGTTAAATAACCATAACTTTTTTGAAAATTGACTTTTTGGGATGTTTTTTTTTTGAAATTTTTGTTCTTTAAATGTACTTTAAAAAAAAAAAAAATAATAATAATTCGGATTCATATTCAATGTTTTTTTTAACTTTTTGAAAAAAAACGAAAATTTCGGGATGATTGACACTTTTGATTTTCGATTTTTCTTTTTTATAAAAAACTTCAGTATTTTTTGCAAATTCCCTAAAATTTTCAGAGTGGTAAAATTTTTCTTTCTATTTTTTTTCAGAGTGGTATAACGAAAAACAAACATTTAAAAAAAAATTTTTTTTTCATTAAGAAAAAAAATAGAAAGAAAAATTTTACCACTCTGAAAATTTTAGTTAATTTGCAAAAAATACTGAAGTTTTTTATAAAAAAGAAAAATCGAAAATCAAAAATGTCAATCATCCCGAAATTTTCGTTTTTTTCCAAAAAGTTAAAAAAAAACATTGAATATGAATCCGAATTATTATTTTTATTTTTTTTTTTTTTAAAGTACATTTAAAGACAAAAATTTCAAAAAAAAAAACATCCCAAAAAGTCAATTTTCAAAAAAGTTATGGTTATTTAACAAAAAAAAAAGCTGTTTTTTTGTAATAACTCGTAACTTTTTTTTGGTTGGGTAAAAAAATTTGAAAAAATTCTGAAAATTGTTTTCAATAGGGTAGAGAAAGATACCAAAATTTCAGAAAAATCGAAAAGGGTCGGTGTCAAAAGTGGTCG